CATTTTCAAATCACCTAGCTTATGTATTTTAGATAGCATTTGTTCACTTGGATGCTGAAGCTTTGGAATCTGGTTTCAGCTCTATTTGGTAATTAACACGGGCTTTGAAATATTTCTGGCCTGAACTAGCAAATAACACTTTTAAGATTCATTACTATTGCATTCCATTCACCTTTTAAAATTGACTCAAAAGTGCAATGGCATGAATTTTTCAATATATTCTTCTTAAACCCCTCTTTTCCTTATATATTTCATAATTTCTTGATCTTAATGAGATTTTATTATCTTGCTTAACAGCAGACATAACATAATAATAGAAACTATAATTTTGAGATCATCCTCTCTCGTGTCTAGTCTCGCCCAATTGCTAAGTTATTCCTGACCGTTGCAACCTATAGCCTCTAGATGAATAACAAATGTTGCGAAAAGTCTTCCTAATGTGGGTGCGACAGTATGAACACACTATAAAGGGGCACAACTGATTAAATTGTCAAATTTTCTTTAAAAACTACCTCATTAATCCACCTTTTTACATATTCACTTATCTTTTTTAAATTAAAGGGCTAAGGCCCTAATGAAATATGTTACAAGTAACCAGCTTTCTTATCTCACCACAGATAATTTACACCCCTTTATCTATCTATGGGTTCGTCAATATATTTTTCTGCCACAATTATTTCCAAATAGATACCCTCTTAATCTCTTTGAAGTTTGCGAATTTTCTCAATACAACACCGAGTTCATTTTATCTACTTCAGAGCTCCAGATTGGCACTCTTTACTGCTTATTATAATCAATTTGATTTTCATTATTAACTTTATTGCAATTATTTTGTTTGCGCTGTGAGTAATAAGAGGTTACTTGTTAGACCATCATTCTAAAATGACTTATTTTGTTTCTTTATTTTATAGTCTATTCTCGTCAGGGCATTGTGCGCCAGCCCTTAAAATCAGGTGCTAACTGGACGGTATTGCGCACACCATCATGGTCAATGCTTCCCTTGGGTTCAAGCAACAGTAGTGGATTTCCGCTTTCTGTGGTAACCTCACCTCCACTCGGGGGTGGCTACTTAATACCCTTTCCTGAGGCCTCTTGTGATGGAGATAAAACTCAGAACTCTGTATGTCTGGACCTTCCTGATGGACCACATGGTTCTCTTGCATTGCCTGTAGATTCAAATATCATGGGCCCAGAAAAATTTAGTGCATCTTCTAGACAAA